CCCTTCCCTTAGCAGGTGCGATTAGCGGGGGCACGAGTGCATCGTGGGGGCCACACGCAGGGCCTGGGGGCTGCCAGGACGGCCCCAGCTGCGGCAGCGTGGAGCGCTTCGGCTTTACGGCCATTGGAAACGGTTGTGAAACATTCCCCCGCCTCTGTTTCCTCCCGCTCATCTTGCGTCCCAGTCGCTCTCCAGCGCTTTGTAATGGCAGTGCACCAAGTAAAGCCAATTACAGCCGCATAAAGAAAGCGAGTAAATGAAATGCAGTTGAAAATATGAGGAATTGGAAAAATCTCTGGAAGCTTTGGAGTAGCTGCTGGTGAGCACATGGAGCAGATCTCTGTAGCCAGTGGAAAGTTTGAAGCGCGCTGGTCGTGGCCGCGCCTTACCCCCGTGGGAGTTCTTCCCAGGGGCAGCAAAGGGCCAGACGCCCGCGTGTGGGCTCTACTCTGGGCTGGGATGGCAGCAGGAGCGTGCACAGGCTGCCCTGGGTGCTCCTCCTGGTCCCTGCTGGTCTTTTTTAAAGCCTGTGAATAAACCTCCCGCTCCCTGTGATTAAGGAGGCTTTTGCTGGCTAATCTGGAGCACAGGCCCTCGTCCTCCCCGCCAGGGCACCGGATCAATAACCGGTGCGAGTGGAGGCTGCTCGGCACCTCTTCCCTGCTTCCCCGGGGCAGGGGGCTCTGCCTGCCGGGAGGGCGGCCGAGCCGTGAGCAGGCGGCAAGCGCAGGGGAGGCGAAGGTGAGGCAGCCCTCTGCAGCCGGCAGCTTAACGTCTGCCGGCTGCCACGGGCTCCTCGCCCAGCGGGCCGGTGTGCGGAGCCCGCAGGCAAGAGTCACCGCGCACCCCGGTGTGCAGCCCGGGACGTGTCCCTGGTTCTGTCCCGACCTCTTGCAGCAGAGCTGGGTGCCCTGAAACCCCGGGAAATCTGGGTGGAAACACCGTCACCTTCTTGCCGCTTGCTTGTTCGTGCGCGGTGTGCGATGCGTCGCCAGCGGGTGCTTTCCACTCCGGGAAAACAGCCCCTCTTGGGGCTGCTAAGGAGTTCTGTCTGGGGAGGTTTGTTGAGCTGCTTTTGTTCTGGCCCAGGGCTGTTGTTAAATGGCCAAGTGAATGCACGTCTCTCGTGATAGCGATGCCCAGGTGCCCACGTCCTGCAGGGCACGATTATTGTCACAGCAAGGAGGCACCTGCGCTCGCCGCGTTTTATCCTTCGGCTGTAGGAGCTGATGGTGTCTGCACGTGTTACTAAGCACGGGGACGCCTTTCTGTCTGTCTGAGGAGGCCGGGGTGGACCTTGCTGGCGGGTTGTGGCACTGGGGAGGTCCTTGTCACCCGTGCAGGGAGCAGCATGGAGCCGTCAAAGGGATGAGCATCTCCCTGAGGAACAGGGCATGGCTTGGGAAATGGGCATCTCCTTCCCTAAATATTCCTCCGGCGGGTTTAGGAGGGTGCCAGGCTTTGTGGCCCGACCTGTCTCTGCCGGGTGCCTCGTGGCCGCACCGTCAGCATGTTTCCTGCGTGAAATGATACCCCGAGGTGGGAGGTTGAACATTGCAGCTCTGGAACGCCCTTGGGCCCTGTACTGAAATCTGGGTGCTGCAGAGCGCTGCCTTGGCAGCTTTGGTGACTGCAAAGCCAGCAGCTTGCCTTGGTGGCAAGCTCGGGGGACGCTGGGGACGGCTGCAGGGTCCCAGGAGCAGGAGCTGGGCCAGACATTCCCTCTGCACGCCGAGGGAAGGAGAGCTGCTCCCATCCCCAGGAGGGCGGGCCAAGTGTTTTGGATGGAAGCAGTTTGTTGCTGGGTGGGTTGGTTTGTTTGGGAAACGTGGGATTAAAGCAAAAGGAAGTGTGTTTTCCTCCAGCACTGTCATGCTACCAACCATCTGCTTTTCTCCACAGTTTTCAGGGAACCGTACACCGTTCGGGTGGAGGACCAAAGGTCGATGCGTGGAAACGTGGCTGTTTTCAAGTGCCTCATCCCCTCTTCAGTGCAGGAATACGTTAGTGTTGTGTCCTGGGAGAAAGACACCGTTTCTATCATCCCAGGTAAGAGAGGAGCCACTTTCCTCTTGGAAAATCTGACCTGCTTTGCCGTGTGTGAAACTCACGGTGGGGGAGACACTTTGTTTCGGCTTGTTGTCCGTGCCTGTGCTGCCCAAGCAAAGGGTTTTACTGTTGAGCACCTTGTGGCTTCATACGGGGAAACGCCGGTGGCGCGAGCGGTGTGCTGCGCCCGGGGTCTCCTTGGTGCTGTGGCTGGTGCTGCGTGTGTCTCCGGGCTCGCGGGTGGTTGGTGTAAGCGCGGCAGCGTGTGTGCCCCGGCCTGGCCTCTCCCGCCTGCCCGCGAGCCAGCTCGCTGCGGGAACCTGGCAGCCAGGGCTTGGAGAACAGGAGAAGAGCCTTCCCGCGCTGTCCGTGTCCCGGCTCCTGCGCTCAGAGCTGGTTCTTGTGTCAGGACGATGTGCAATATTCTAGCTTCTCTTGTGAGCTTTTCACAACTGTTTCAGCCACGGGGAAAGGAACTCGTTAAAAACGGCATCGTGCGCCTCTTCCCCGCGCTGGCACCTGGAAGCTGCTTGGCCTCCCTGTCCCACGTGCTCACCCCGTGGCCCGGGACGCGTCCCGCTCGGCGCTGACTTCGATCTGTGGGGAAGGGGCCTGCGGGAGGGAGAGCGGTGCCCGACTCTGCGCAGGGACTTTGTGGCTCTGGGTGTTTAACCCCGTGATTTTTCTTTTGGTGGATGCAGAGCACCCTGGCTCCCCATGGGAGCAGAGACCCTCTGAAACCAGGGTCTTCCCCTGGCTGGTCCCCTGGGGAGCGGGGAGGGGAGGTGGCGGGAGCAGGGGTGGGACATGGCCTCCCGGCACCTCCGTGGTGGGGGGGCAGAGGAACCAGGGAAAGTGCTCGCTGAGCCACGCCGCTGCTGCGGGCTCCAGCCCCTGCCCGGCTTGTCGCAGGCTTTGAAGCAGCGCCGGGGGCTGCGGGCAAGTGCTGGGCACAGCGTGGGGCCACCCCGTGTCCCCGCGTACTGAGGTGACCTTTTGGCTCCCTCCTCGGAGCTGGTATTGATGGCAGCACTGGCTGCCTGGCACAGCATGTGTGAGCAAGTAGTCAAGCAATCAATAGCGCTTTCCCCAGGGGGATCCAGAGAGAATTAAAGGATTTTGCCCAAAGTGAATGCTCTGCGCTTGATATTTGCTCACAGGTCAGCAAGTCCTGATGCTCCTCCAGGGCTCGGTGTTGCTGCGCCAGCAGCGTGGAGAACAGATGCCACAGGGAGCGGGACGCGGGCCAGGGCACCCGCTGACCAGGCATGGGAGGCGATTCCCTCTAATCCCTCCTGCAGGGATGTTTCTTCCTGAAGGAGCTTAAGGAGCAAAGTGCTTCATCTGGAGGGGGGTGACAGCTTCTCCTGAGGGCTGTGTGGCTCTTGCCGATAGCCCGCACCTCCTGAGCATCGGTAACCTGCTGACTCAGCGCAACCCGTGGGCTCGGAGGCGGGCAGAGGGGAGCTGGGCTGAAGGAGTGACCAGGGAGCACAGGCAGCCCTCCCGATGGAGGCTGTGCCCGGGCGGGCGCAGAGCCCCTGTCACGGTCTGCGGGGCCGGGAGCCGACTGCCTTCCCCTGGTCAGACCCGCGTCTGCGGAGCCTCTCCCCCAGCACTGACCCCTTTCTGGTAGTCTTGGGATGAAAAACGACATGAAACTCTTCTCCTCGGGAACGTGGTCTTCCCCAGACGGGTGTTTGGAGCGATAAGGCTACACTGAGCCTTTTGCCTGGAAAGGGATGTTCTTGCTGGAAGGAGCTTCCGGCACTTCAGGGCGCTTTGGAACACTGTGGAAATGTCCCTTGTGTTTTAGCAGGTGAGAAACCTCCGGGTGGTCCAAGATGTCTGTTTAAAAGTGTGTTGGGGGGGGGCTCACCTGGAGGGCAGCGGTGCGTGGAAGAGGCACAGCACCCCTCGGTAGGGTGCAGGCGGGTGCCGCAGCCTCGCCAGCCCGTCTCTGCTGAGCTCCGGGAACCGGCCGCGTCGAGGAGCGAGCACAGGGCCGGCTTCTGTAGGTGCCTTGGCCCGAGGTCTCGGTGTCACCCATCTCCTGGGCGGTACAGTGCGTCCCGGGCGGGCGGCGGCTGCTCACGGCGCTCGGGGTTCCGCAGGACGGAGCAAGCGGTGCCCGCGCTCCGGGGCCGAGGAGCGTGGCGGGTTTGCTCGGCAGCAAGTTTGTCAACCGAGCACCCGTGCACTTGCGTGGTCTTAACCAGACTTGTTCTCAAGTTTGCTGTGGCAGTGGATTTTTTAATATGATGATTTAATTAGAGTGGAACGATTTTAACATTCTAAAGCAATAATTACCCTAAAGACAGAACATATAAATTGTGTTACAGTGCAGAGTCAACACAAGCAAACATGTTTTGCCGTTGGATTACAAATATAGTATCTGCCTGAAGCTTATTTTTTTTATTGCTCTTGTGTTCGAGCTAAAACTGGCTTCGCTGTTACCAAACCCGTGGTCTTTTCATGACCTCTGCTTCTGTCCTAATTCTGAGCAGAGAAGGCGAGGAAAGGGGGTCCCTGCTGTTCAGAGTGAACAGCATGAAGGCTGAGAAGAGCTGAAGTGTGGTGCTGAGGCCTAATAGCTCCCTTCACCTGCAGAAGTGCTTTCTGCATCGCGGCACCGAGCGGTTGCGCAGCCACAGCGCTGCACGGCTCTCCTCCGGGCAGCTACCGAAAGAAACGGTGCGTGGAAGCGCCGCAGCGCTCTCGGAAGTACATCCACACTGTGCTGACGGCTGGCCGTGTAGCGTGGCGGTCTCTCCTCACGTTGGTGTGCCAGACGCGCTGCTTTTCCTGAAACTTTTCTCTGGTGCTTCCTGTGGACGACCACTCACCTTCCCAGCAGGTCTTGGTGCAGCGAGGGATGGACAGTCCTAATGTGCAGGAGCAGGAGAAATCTCCATCCAGACCTCTCTGTGTCGGAAAACTCCTTTAAGTCACCATTTTCACAGCAAATGTCCGATTTCCTTAGCATCCCTGGGTTTCCCCCCACCAAACCAAAATATTTTGTAGCTCGGAAGGGAGGGGGGCGAGCGTTTTCCCTGGGGCTGCTGTTCTTGTGAGCTCAGGCCTCCGGGTGGCCCCTTTGTCAGCTTTCTCGTGTCCTTTGTCCTCGTAATTGGGATTACGGGGCTCCCTCCTCTGCCACCACCCTTTCCAGACGAGCCTTGCTCCTCTTTGCTGGTGGGCCAAGGACTGGGGGGGGGCTGGTGCTGGCAAGCGCGTCCTTCGGGAGCAGCTGCTGGGGCTGTGTTGGGAGGGATCCCCCAGCGCTTGCGGGGGGTGCTCTGGGTCTGCGTGGCCCTGCTGCAGGAGGGGCTTTGGGTGGCGAGCTGCGTTATTTGGTTAACTGGGCGACACCGTAACTTACCCTGGAATCAAAGGTAAGTCCTTTATGGAAGGTTGTCCGGCACATAAATCCTCATTAGTGTAGCTCGTTTTTGTTTAATGCCTACCTAACTGTGCTGTAGTCTAAAACTGTGTGTTTAGTGAAGTCAAAGGTTGCAGAGAAATTACAGGGTTTTCAAAAACCCATTTGCTTTGCTGGTGCTCACATCAAAATCAATCTTGCCTTTCGTTCTCAGCCTTGTCACAAACACGCAGCAGCACTCGCAGGACTCCGGCACCTGATGTAGGCTGGTGCTTCCTGGGAGTAGAGCAGCGGCGCTTACAGAATCAGGGTTTGCGGATGAGATTGCACTTCACACCCAGGCTGTGATTTCAAACTCTGCTGCTATTGATGAATCTTGATATGTACTTGGGGGGGAGTGATGGGAGGAGGATGGGAGGACTGCAGCTGAGCAGAATGTTTTACAGACCTCCCTCCCTTTTCCATAAGGAAAGAGGGAGAAACTCCTGCTACAAACCGGTTTAAGAACTCAACGCGGTAAACAGCTGCTTTTTTATTTTTGAAAGCACTATCACCAGGCTGGGTAACGTGAAGACTCTCGCAGGCGCATGCATGGCTTTGACTTGTCATGGAGGATCTGTGTTTCATGTGTGGCCGAAGCCGCTTTGGTGGCCGTGGTCTGGCCATTGCGGCGCGGACACGGAGATTCGCGGTGTCGCGTGGCTTGGTGTCAGCAGCCACAGCCCCCACGTGACTGGGCACGTGGCACTCGTGCTAGCGTCGACCCCGTGTCTGTGGGACCTCGTGGAGCATGTGTCCGGCCACGATTCCCAGAAGTGATGTGGGGAGCTGCTCGAGACGCTGGAGAGAGTGGATTTTTGAGCAACCGCCAGCCCCTCCTCTGCTGTTGCAGTGTGTTCGTTGGAGCCCTGCTTGGCCTTTGTCACCCCACGAGCACAAGTGTGCCTGTACGCTTACACCCCGGCTGTTCCTCAGCTGGCTCCGGGATGTGAACGTGCCCGTTTGCCTTTCTTGGCACAAACATGCCGCCTGCCCAGGCTGTGCCCATTGTGCTACCAGGAGCGCCGTGCCGGGTGGCAAGGACAGCCCTGGGGACGGCTGCCCGGTGTCGCTGGGCTCCGGTCCTTCGGCCGTCGGTGCCCGTCTGCGCTGGCGCACCCAGAGAGCGTGGCGGGACTTGCCTCGGGAGGTTCAGTGTCCGCTGGGACGTGTGTGTCACTCAGGTGCACGGGCCTAATGCTGCCAGCGTGGCTCTCTGTGGTCTCTGGAAAGCAAAAGCGGTGTCCAGGGGAAGCCAACAGTGTTTGACATCCCATCCGGCCCAGCCTGTCGGTAGCCTGCGGCTCGCGAGGGCCGTGCAGAAGAGCAGTGGTTGGGAGGCAGTAAATGTTCCTGGATTGGCAAGCCCAGAGCCAAGCTGGTATTCGATGCTTCAGTGTCGTAGTCTTGATAGATTGTGTTGGAAAAAATCTAAATAGAGCTCTTCTCAAGGTACAGACATTTCTAAGGGTGCTGCTTGTCTCGGCAACCTTAATACACATCCTCCGAGGGCTGCAGATACTCGGATGTGCTCAGCTACTCGTTGGATAGCCACAAAGACCTTTCTTTGGAAAGCAAA